TTGCTCAGAGCTCAAACTCTTGAGCGAGCTCTTCACCAACTGAGCCACTCGGCCGGCCCCTAAACTTTTATTAATGCTTATGTATTTCACTTTTAAAAGAATTCAGGCTGCTTGAGAATTGAGGAGGAGGAGAAGGGGAGATAAGAGGATAAAGGAGAGGAGAAATGCAAATGAATCACTGAAATGCCAGCGTAGAGAATTATAAAACCTTCCTCGCTGCTAAATTAGATACAATCTAGTTTAGAACTGTGATAAATAAAGCCTTAAAAAGTTAGGGAGTAATAGAAAAGGATACCAAAGAAATAGTAGTTTTCCTCCAAAGATATTAAGAAACCCTGACATACCATGCCTACAACATACTCCACCCCTGGACTTCTTACGTTATATAAACAATTCTATTTCCTTATTGGTCAAGCTAATTTGAGTTGGAATTTCTGTTTCTTGCAACCAACTACATCCTAACTGGCACAACCTTTGAGTAAAGAAATTAAGCAAATCAGTTATTATTACTATCATATAAACCACATTCATATCAGAGATGATACTAGTATAATCAAAATGATAAAAAAAATTTACTAGACAGTATCTACTGGGCTAACAAGCATTTACCATGACATTGGAGAAGGCCACAGATAATCTATGAATAAATTATGTCCACATACCGCAAATCACATGTATGTCAAAACTAAATAGGTGATCAACATCATTATGCACACAAATTATAACTCACATCATATACGAATAATACCTATCCACATCCTAATATAGTATGAATAATCATAACTAAATATAATACTTCATTTATTCATTCACTTTTTTCTGTAACTAATTATTGCATGTCAATTATGTACCAGGTACTGTCTTAGGTATTGAGGACATAACAGTAAAAAAAAAACAACATTCTTGCCCTAACATTAACTCCATTCTAAAAACTGTCAATAACTAGACAATAAATAAATAACTTATCAAATGGTGGTTAAGTGCTATGGAGAGGAAGAGGCCATCAATTTTCAGAAGCTACATTATTTTACATACCACTAGGTAAGAAAAAATTGCCAATTAACATGAGACACCAAATGATTGTAAAACATCCCAATTTCAGAGATGTTACAAAGTGAAAAAAATGTGCACCTTAAAATCAATGAATATGGTTAAACAAGAAAAGGGGGAGAGACGTGCTGGCAAGGAAGACGAAGGTGTTATTTTAGATAGGGTGTCAGAGCAGGTCTCATTGGCCTAAAAAAACGAGAGGTAAGAAGCCATGCAGCTCTCTAGGAAAGCAACCCAGTGAGCGGGAGAGGCAAGAGCAAACGCCCTCTCACTGGCGTGCCCACACGTGGCACGATGGAGGGACAGCAAGAGGCGTGTGTGGGGAGCAGAATGGGGAAGAGGAGAGCAGCAGAAAATGAAATGTGAGAAGCTGCACAGGCCTGAACGCACAAAGCCTCACAGGGCTGTGACTCTCATGCTCATGGGACGGGCAGCCCAGGCATATTTTCAAAATAAGGATCTAAAACAGATGACTAGGATATAGCTAATGCTTATAAAAATAAAGTAAGTCAGAACATTTTTTAAAAACTTGCTAACTTCATAGTTACATGCTCGAATGTTTATAAATGAAGTCATGTCCAATCTAGTAAAATAAGGTAAAGTGATTCCTTAAATATCAAATATAGAACAAATCATCAATATAGTTCTTAAAATACTATAATCTAGTATGTTAGAAAAAGGAGAATCCTGGTAACGAATAATTCTCAGAAAGTTAAAAACTAAGCTACTGAAGTATTTCTATGTTGGCTCTGACCAAAGCTATTAGTCCAATTACCACTATACTACCAAAAAAATGACTTTTACTGAGTGAATACTGTACGCAAACTTCTAAAGCTCTATAAAGTAGAAGGCACTAGACAACTGTTTTTATTCTACTAGGCTGTAAGAAAAACAAAGTAATAATCCTATCATATGTTAAAATCTCCTTTTTTTTTCTTTTCTTTTTTTTTTTTTTTAGCTGAGCCATCCCGCCACCTGTTGGCAGCTCACGGCTGCTCAGCTCGGGCTGACTCGAACCGCTGTTGCTCAGAGCTCAAACTCTTGAGCGAGCTCTTAACCAACTGAGCCACTCTGCCGGCCCTTGTTTTTTTTTGACATACCTTTTAAACTCTCTTACCTGCTGAATGAGGTGCATACACTTTGAAGACTGCACCCCATAAGCATTATTGACTATGTGTGGAATGCCATAATTTGCACACATCACAGCCAGCTCTTCTAATCTGTAAACATAAGTATTCAATAGAAAGACACAGTCATGCTACACTTTTATAAATTACAGTAAGAAAACTACTTTAAGTTATTCTTAATGTACACTAGTAAAAAAATAACAAAACTGAAATTTCTACAACAGTATTTGAGCATATAATTCGGCAGTTTGGAAATACGTAGCAGGCACTTTAGGATAAACTTTAAAAAGCTTTTAAATTAACATTACCAATAAATGAGAAAATGTATATTTACAAAAGTCTGTATAGATGGTCACTTTTAATTCACTTTAAAATTTCTTATATAAAAAGCAGGAAGGTTATTTATAATGACTATAAGGTTGCATATGCTCATGTTTAAATACTTCTGGTTGCTTATCATACTAAAGCTAATATCTGCAAAATAATTAGCATATCGTGAAATCTTAAGAAATCTCACATTAATCATAATGTAAAAAATGTTCTTTCAAATAAACTTCAATGTATTAAAAAGTACAGAACATCAAAATGTTTCAGTACCAATATTTTCCAACAACTTAGATACTAAAGAATCTTTTAAATATTAATATACCTGCTCGTTTTAAACTCACTCTTACTTTTACATTTGACATTCCTGATATTAAGACAATTTGAGAGTCTAACTTTATGTAAAGTAAGACAATTAGATTTCAATTAGAGTATACTAAATAATATTCTTTTGCAAAATCAAATACTACTTGTGAGTGAGGTCAACTCTAATAGAAATGTCTTCATGCTGTGAAGCTAAAACTAAATCCTATGGTTTAATAACTTTTATTTTTAAAAAATTCTTTCTACAATATAAAGAATCTGGAAGCAAAGCATTTTTATACAATAAAAGTTCTTTCCCACAGGATGTATTTCAAATATGTATTATATAGTTTTATTATCTATTTATGCATAATACATTCTTTTTATAGACATGCATTAAGATGTTTTTAAGCTACAAATAGGAGTAACATTATCCTGTTCATCTGTCAGTAGTTTTCAATTTACTTCCTTAGAGTAAACTCATTTTATCATTCCTTTTCATAAGTCTCACAAATCAACACAGAAAACCTTTGTTACGTAAACTAATCAGATGTTTTTAACAAAGTAGACTTTCTGGGATATACAGTTTTCTTCTTCATAAGAGGCACTTTCACATGCTTGTGTTCTAATGAAAGCATTCCTTAATAATAAACTTCCTTGAAAAGAAGGCACCATAACAACATAAAGTATTGTTTTAAAAAAAATCACTTCTGCATAGTTTTAAATATTCTGACTTGATCAAATCTACTAAAATTTACAGTGTATATAAAGGTATTCAATTTAAGGCAAAGAGAGACTGAAAAAGTGTTTTCCATGTGGATCAAATTGTATTCTAACTTAGAAGCCAATTTAAGGTGTTTATCAATTAGGAAAATTGATAAACTCCTTTTTTTAACAGTTCCTTTGATGATTTTGCCCCACAATGCTCTCTGTCCAATTGATGAATAAAGACAGTATATACACATTAAAATTAAGACTATAAAGAATTAAGCTTACTATAAAAAAATCAAAATGTATTTTTTAATTTAATAAAGTCAAAAATTCAAACATATTACCAAAAACAGTGTATCACCATTTTCCTAAGGTTCACTCTTATAAGAAACATTTATCATATAACACCACTAAAAAGTGGCATATGAGAATTTACCTGATAAAAAAACTTTGTGATTTTTTCTAAAGGAAATTATACACATAAAATACTTAACAGTGCACCCAGCATATTGTAAACATGCAAAAATAGTCAAAATGAAACAAAAACAAAGTATCCTCAATGATAATCTAACTAATACAAACATCCATATGCTATTTTTGTAAATGTGATTTATTTCTATCACATTAAAATTTCTCTAGATAGCAAAAGCATCAATGAGAAAAGGATATGTTTAATATTTTAAAATAAATTTAAAGTGTTTTGTAAATAATAAATTAAAGCATATACAATATAATCTTAAAATAGAATTCACAGACTCATGATTGAAGCAAGGTTAACTTTTCAAGAGCATGGCTTTAAAATTATCTCTTAAAGTCTGCCTATAAGATAATAAAAGCTAATATGCATTAATTACTGCCAAATTACCGTATGTGATTTCATGAAAACCAAAGTATAACTTGATGCTACAAAAATAGTCCAAAGTCAAAGTAGTTTGTTTCTACAGATTACTAGCACCTCTATTCAAAATGTTAAAATGAAACAAAGATTTGCTGTCAAAACCAGAAATCTGTATTCCTATACCTAAGCCTACTACATTTTCAGAATAAAAATTTGTGGCTATCTTTTAGAAGAGTAAACATTTGCTTTTTTTTCTTTTGCTTTTTATTTTCTTAAATATTTGCATTTTTCTTAGAATGCAAAGACAACCGCTGTGTACACCTAATTGTACATCTGGGTTAATCTTCCAATTAAAAAAAATTCAAAGGGCAGTAAATAATCCTAAAATTTTGTTTAAAATCTGTTAATACCGATAGTTCCTACATATGAAAACTAACTGTAAGATCAAAGAAGTAGAGCTAGCAATGAAAACAAGTAAATCCAAGTTAGCTTAGAAACTTCTATTAAATAATGAGCAAAAAGATTCTAAGAGATCAGAAACAGGGAAAAGAGCAAGAAAACATGTTCTGCATACGCTCAGGTGATCAAGGGATCTCCACTTGGTACTAGGTGTTTTCCCTTCTTCTATATCAAATTTTTATTTTCTCTTAGAACAGTGCATTCACCTATTTACTGCCAAATGTTACTTAAGTATCTTTGAGACTATATTCAAGCATTTTATTTAAAAGAATGATATTCACAAATCACAAAAGACGATATTCACAAATCATTTACCTATCAGGCACCCTTGGAGCAAAACAGGAGGTGGTAGAATGAACACACAGAACGTTGTCAGGCCCCAGTTCCTGGACTTTGGCCTCCACTGCTTTCAGGTCTGTACGCAGTTCGTCACCTTCTAAAACGTTCTCTATCACCACAGGCTCAAAGCCTAAGCAAGCCAACCAAAAATCAAAATGTTAGTGTAAACTAAAATAAGGGAAGCTCCTGGAACTCCAGGGAACACTTCTATTCTACACAAGAACTCTAAATATTAGTTTTGGTCAATGAACCCTCATCTAACAATAAAGACCCGGCTCAATACTGGTAAGAGTCAAAGGCACATCAAAGTAACGCAAAGGACAACCAAACCACAGTTAGGGCAACAGATCCATTTAACACTTCAATATGACAAGAAAGACTAGCTCTGGGAAGTAAGGGAAACACATGTTAAATAGATACCTATAAAAGTAATAACACAGTCACTGATGATGAAAAAGATAACTTAATTTTAGTCCACAGAAAAGTAAATCTACTCATTCTCTGGCAATGTTTAAGTTTTACTTTAAAGTTCACTTTATTTCAGAAATGGACAAAAATAATAACTCAAGTTTTAAACAAATCATAATCATCAACTTAATGTTTTGATTATGAAAAAAGTTATGAATTTTAGTAGCCTAGGGATCACTGGCCCATCTCATAGGTCAGCTTACAAGGGCCTCCTGTAACTTAAATGTAAAAATTGTTTTCCAGTTTTCAATTGAATCAGTACACTTAACATGTGATCAAAGGTTTACCTGAATAATAACGATGCAACCTTGTATGGTAAATATTTTTAAGTATCCATAAACTTTAAAAAGTTATATAAGCAATATATATACTAAGTAATATACAAAGCACTTATATTAAGTAAGTGCTTTGTGATACTAGAAAGTACTTAGGGTAAAAGTAAAACCTACTGTGTTTGAGTCTCGGAAACTGTATACAAAATAAACCTGATAAATTTTGCACATAAAGTTATTCTGTAGTCACATCTTTGGTCTTCCCAAATACCAAATCTAGCAGCTGACTAAATTCATGTGTTTAACCCTCCATCGGGCACAACTGATCTCACAGATTCATTGCACACAAATTTTCAAATATGAAATATGTCTTTACTGTACTAAGTCACACACACTACTAACAACAGGTTACGGTAGAGGGGGAAGATACGGAAGCGATGAGTCACGATACTTAAGTTAACTTAGATATTTGAAAATTTGTGTGCAATGAATCTGTGAGATCAGTTGTGCCAAATGAGGGTTCAGAGCCGTAAGGGATTTAGAAACCATTTAGCTCAATTTACTCATTTCAAAGATAAGGGAGCGAAAGTTCAGGGAGATTAAGTGGCTTCCCCAAGGTCACACAGCAAGTTATACCAAAGTCAAGAGCAAGTAGTTTTCTTTTGTGTTTCAGAATCCACATCAAGTTGTCTGCATTCTATCTAAAGAAATAGAAAACCTCAGCCACTGCAAGATCATTATTTCAAATACGTTGGTTCAGAGATGTCTAGGTTTTATAACTATACCTTCACAGCTAATAAAATAAACATTCAAACTTTAAATAAATAGCTTTCTGAGGACAGCTAATTTTCTATTATTTCTCAAATCCTCAAGACCCAACCATATTTTGGCTTACAGACTATTAAAATACAAGTTTTTTTCCAAAGAATACAACTATCTTGCTTCCTAAGAATAGAAGCTATCCTGAAAAAGAATTAACTGTAAATTGTAGTCCAAATCATAACATCTTTTGGAAAAGTTTTCAGTTTTTCAATATGGCAATCTTCTCCATAATTTAGTTATCAGGTCTTTCATTAATAAGTGATCAATGCACAGACTTGACAACTTTATGCCACTTAAAATAAATCAGAATATTTTTAAAAGTCTATCAGTTTCTGCTCTATGTCCTTATTATGAATCCCTTTACATGAGTTTCTTTATAATTATTTATGCAGTTTAATTAGAGCCCAGTACTGTTCGTTTCATACAACAGATTGAAGCCATTCAACAATAACCTTAAATTCTCAAATTCGACTTTCCTTAAGCAAACCAAAAACAAAAAAACCAATTTAAAGATTTTGTCTCATCTATACTTAATGATGTCTGCATTCTTGCACTTTGATTCATGGTAATAATTTATGTGTACTCCACTCATGTATATACAACAAACATTCCTAAGCACCTTTTATGCTCCAGAGATTATTGTTGGGCATTTTATTTGTCTTTCCATTTATTTCTCAAAACAATGCAGAAATTCTACTTTTGAGTATATACCCAAAAGAATTCAAAGCAAGGACTTAAACAGGTATTTGTACACCATGTTCATAGCAGCACTATTCACAATAGCCAAGAGGTGGAAACAACCCAAGTGTCCACCAATGAATGAATGAATGAATAAGATGTGGGATACACATACACACACCCAACAGAATTTTAGTCAGTCTTCAAATAGGACAGAAATTCTGACACATACTATACCATGGGTGAACCTTAAAGACATTATGGTAAGTGAAATAAGCCAGTCACAAAGAACAAACACTCTATAATTCCACTTACATGAGGGACCTAGAGTCGTCAAATTCATAGAGACAGAAAGTAGAATGATGATTACTAGGGACTGTGAGCACTGGGGAGGGAACATTTACTGTTCAACAGGCAGAATTTTAGTTTAAGAGGATGAAAAAGTTTCTAGAAATGGATGATAGTGATGGCTGCACAGCAATGTGAACGTACTTAATATCATGGAACTATACATTTAAAAATGGTTAAAAATGGTAAATTTTACGTATGTTTCATCACAATAAAAAGAAGAAGTAAGAACAGGTTTAGTTTCTTTTTACTTATTTATCTCTCTATAAAAAGTCTGAAATGTCTAACTGTGATATTGAAGACATTATATATACCACATTCTTTTACCTGCAGTGATCATGGATTTAAAGCAGGACTTCTGGTCTATTCGCGGCCATATAATATACTTCGCCTTTGGTCTTTTGTGTCGTAATGTTAAGAAACACAGGGTTAGACTCATACCAGTTGCCATAGGCACTACAAAGCAGTTGGTCACTGTGTGGACACCTGGGAATAAAAAGTAAAACAGAAATTATTCCACCGATAAACCAGCATCCTTCTTAAAGAAATTACATACTTCTTCTAACAAATAAGTCATAGACTTAGTGCTTCTTCTGTAATCACTCTCAGGAAGCTCCTGCCAAATTCATCTCTATGCTTATGGCTCTGATTTTCTATCTTATTCTAAAGGCATATATATATTTTTTTTTTCCCCCAAAGCCATACATATCCTTTTTGGAAAAAGGCATTAATAAAAGGAATCAGGCAAATGTACGTATGGCTGGTTAGCCAAAACTATTATGATTAACGCAGTACATACCAGCCAACTTTATGATGTCCAGGACCAAAGAATTGGTAATTTTGTTCAAAAGGCTAGAACCTGCAGCTTTTGGTTGCACAGCAGAAATATCACCTGATCGTCCAATTCCGTGAATCAACCTAAGCAAAAAATGAGCCAACAACTGGACAAAAATATTCAGTGTTCAGAGTAATCCACTGTATAAGTATACAAATAAAATAACAAAATAATACTAGGAGCAATACTTGACCACTATAGATGTATTTCATGAACTATTAATAATATGAAAATATGCTATTAAATTAAAACAAATTCATTAATTACATTGTGGTACTTTGTCTCCAAAGATGGCCGCTATCAAGTCCTTTCCTCTCTGTGCCCATATGGTACTGCCACACCAAGAGATGAGTCTAATTCCCTCCACTTGAAACTGGGTTGGCCTTAGTGATTTGTTTGACCAGAAAGAATCTAGCAGAAGTGATGGTCTGGAACTTCTGAGCTAAGGCATAGGAGCCTTAAAGCTTTCCACCTGGCCTCTTGAAGGGCTTGTTCTGGGAGACTCCAACTTATAATTCAGATGCCATGCTGGGAGAAGCCAAAGCCACATGGAGAGGCCACCTGAGACCCCAGCAATCTAAATGAGTCAACTTGGATATTGCACAGTTGAACCTTGAGAGCTTAGAGGTGACTAAACTCTCAGCCAACAACTGACTGCAACTACATGAGAGACCCAAAGTAACAATCACCTTGTTGAACCCAATTTACCCACAGAACTATGAGAGGTAATAATAAATGATTGTTTTAAGTCCCTAATTTTTTAAGTGGTTTGTTATGCAGCAATAGAAAAGCACAATATATGCAACATTAAATTCTCTCCTTTCTTTACTTTTCCCCTAACCAGAGCAGTGGGCTAAGTTCCAGTGGGGATGAGCTGATGTTTCAAATATTGCCTTAATTTTATTTTATTTATTTATTTTTTAAAGATTTTATTGGGGAATTGGGGGAGAGAACAGCGTTGGGGAATTGGGGAAGGGTGACAGACAAGTTGCTGTCATTTTGTTTGTCAGTCTATTGGGTTGTCAGAAAAGTCATGACGCATGTTTACGACACATGGCACTAGTTCATTTTTGGAAGTACTAGAGTCATTCGCGCATCTATGTTATTGCTATGTCATTTGACAGCTGACAGTTCTAGCTTCATTCTAAAAAAAATTCAGCAATTTGGTTGAATTTTGGAGATTATACAAAAAGTTGAAGATGAAAGACCAAACTGTGCATTTTTGCCATCTTTTACCGTTTTACTTCCATAAAAGGAAGAACACACGTCAAGCTTGTGAAAAGTTGCATCAAGTTTACAGAGACAATGCTCTTCAAGAACGTCAGTGCCAACGACAGTTCATAAAATTCTGTGCTGGTGATTTTGAGCTCAACGATCCTCGGTCAGGCCCACAGAGGTTGATGACGACAAAATAAAGGCATTGATCGAGTCAAACCCACGTTACACGACACAAAAGATTGCAGAAACATTGAACATCCATCATTCAAGCATTTACAACCACCTGAAGAAGCTGGGATATGTAAGCAAGCTCAATATTTGGGTTCTGCATGAACTCAAAGAAGTTCATTTGACGACGCATAGAAACAGCTGCAATATGCTCTTTAAATGTGAGGAAAGTGATCCTTTTTTGAAGCGACTAATAACTAATGATGAGAAGTGGATTGTTTACAACAGTGTGGTATGCAAACGGTCTTGGTCCCGATGTGATGATTCGCCTCAAATGATATCGAAAGCAGACATTCATCAGAGGAAGGTTATGCTCTCAGTGTGGTGGGATTTTAAAGGTGTCATGTTTTTCGAGCTCCTACCAAGGAACCAAACAATCAATTCGAATGTGTACCATTGGCAATTGGACAGTTTGAACGAATCCATCATCCAGAAACGTCCAGAGCTTGTTAATTGTAAAGGAGTTGTGTTCCATTGCGACAATGCGAGACCACACACAAGTTTGATCACCCGTCAAAAATTATTGGAGCTTGGATGGGATGTGTTGCCACACCCACCACACTCGCCTGACCTTGCACTGTCAGACTTCCACTTGTTTCGCTCTCTTCAAATCTCCTTGCGTGGTATAACGTTCAATTCAGATGAGGCTGTAAATCAGCACCTTGTTCAGTTTTTCGCAAAGACAAGTCCTTCTATTAAAGAGGAATTATGAAGCTCACTGAAAGATGGCCAAAGGTTATCAAACAAAACGGACAATATATCATTGATTGATCTTTCTTCTTTATATAAATAAATGACCTTTGAAAACATAGACAAAATACGCCATGACTTTTCCAACAACCCAATAGTTGTGAAGGACATTGCTTCATTGGCCCATGTTGGTATTGTGGTCATTGGGCTCTTCCCATCTGAGGCAGATTGGTCGCCAGCCATTGGACGGCCGCTCACGCTGGTAGCCGGACACTCACGGTAGTCCAGCTCCAGGTTGAGCTGTTGTTCACCATCTTAGCTGTAGAGGGCGCAATTTCACTGGCCCATGTAGGATCCAAAACCGGCAGCCCTGCTGCTCAGAGCTCGCTCTCCCAAGCCAACTCTTAACCAACGAGCCACTCAGCCAGCCCAATACTGCCTTAATTTTAAATGAACTATATGCTCCTTGAAAACTAAGTGTGCAAATACACTCATTTTAAATTAGATGTTATACACTATTTAAAAATACCTATGGATAGTCTTCAAAATAGAAAATCTGTTTGTAATTTATAGGTAGATTGGAAATTCTGCACACTGGAATTACCACAGAACACTAGTGTTGCACTTCATTACCACTGAAACCTCATGTAGAAAGCCTTTTTTTTACACATAATATCAACCATGTTATCAGCCCATTTTTGACCATGAATTTTTCATCCAAGTTGTACATTCATTATCATTAGCTTTGACTGCAATTTTTTCTTAAATTGACATATAACATTATATTAGTTTCAAAATAATGATTCAATACTTATACATATGTGAAATGATCATATTAAGTCCACCACCACCACCAATAGGTACAAATATTTTTCTTGTGATAAGAACTTTTAAGATCCACTCTCTTAGCAACTTTCAGATATACGATACAGTACTGTTAACAGTACTGTTAACTATAGTCACCATGCTGTACATTACTTCACATGACTTGCTTATTTTATAACTGGAAGTTTATATCTTCTGACAAACTAGAAGTGTGGTGACTTTGAAACAAAATTCTACTACCGCCAGGAAAATTCTGTCATGATTTAAAATCATGGAAGACAGAGGTTTTTAAGAGTTTACCTGTATTTTATAGAAAGATTGGAAAACAGAAAAATAATTATATTTGGAACCACTCTCAAGTAAATAGTTATCAGAATGATGAAAAGCTTTCTGAAATAATGCAACAGTGATTTAATGATCTAAAATTAAATTGAATATACCTTTTCCTACACCTACTGCAACAAAGCAAGGTACTTAATAAAATGGGTTTCAGTTTAGATGCAGATGAACAATGTTTTAAAGATCTACCTATTATACATCATTCTCTAAAAAAAACCTTGCAATTGTAGAAAAGAAACATGGAAAAGTATACACAAACTTAATATATTTTAAATTCTTACAACCAAGTAAGTTTATTAGGTTAAACATTCTTAATAGAATGAATAGCCAATTTTGTTAACCACCCAGAACCTGACAAGGTAACCACCACATACCACAACTTTTACCCTATTGTTTAAATTGTTTCCATCTCCCTGTTGCATCTAGTTTACATGCCCATTTGAACAGAGAAGTAGTAGGTTACAGACAGACATTGTATAATATGATGAATACTGCCACCATTGTTTTTAAGCAAAAAAAAAAAAAGTGTTCACAACCTACTTGAAAAAAATACCTGTAATGACGTCGAGCAACTAATGCAGATGCCACTCTCCCTTCCCTTTCTCCCACACCACAATTGCCCAGGAAATTGTTGCTATCCATTATTGCAAGTTCATGTAGAAAGAGTTCAAGTGTACTTTCATCCCAGCCATTCTCTGGACATTTGCCCTTAAAAACAAACAAAAACTTTAAAAAAAACCATGCATGGTTCCCTAAAACCCTACCTCAAGGCATTTTAAAAGTTTTTAAAGTGTATTTTGCCATGCTCCCTGCTTTCTAAAATTCAGGCATAAATTCAGCACTATGAAAAAACCTCAAATAGGCGAAACGTTTATGTTACACTGTATTACAATTATGTACGGATTGTAAGAAGTGATGATAAATGCACATGGCTAGATTTATTTAGGTTTCAAGTTGCAGTTAAGGTAACTGGAAATCAATAAACCTTGTCTATAACGGAGATTCTTCAACCCGCATTGTTAAAACTATGGGTTGTCAAACTTTAGTGAAACTAAAAGTCAGGAATGCTGGCAGGAGCGGGACCTGTGAAGTTCCGAAGAAGCACTTGGTTCTACTTGGTATATCGTGTTTTACAAATATAGTGTGCTCCTCGAGTCCTTGGGAAAGATGGGAGATGCGAACATTGCCCTTTCCGGAAACAAAAAAGTAAACCAACTGGGACTTCCACTCGCTTCCGCATCCCGAAGCATGACAACACGGGACTCAAAATCCCGACTCCCCACACATCCTAATAACACTCTCTGGGTTTTGCTGGCTTTGGTGAGGGTGAGAAGGAGTTGGGCTGAGCAAGTCAGCATAGTGCACGCCAAGTTGCTACAGACTCTGGGGGAAGGGCTCAACCAGCAAATAGGAGCGAGGGCGGCAGGGCTCAGCACTAACGGGAGGGAGGGGCGGAGCCTAGGGGCGCAGCGGCTGGGGAGAGATCCGGCTGACAGCTCGGTACCTGCTCCAGAAGCAGCCGTATAAGGCACTCATGCGAGCGGCGGGCCTCACAGCCCTGCCGCACGTAAGCCGGCGACACCAGCCGCTCGCCGGCGGCGAAGTTCTCGCGGTTCATGTCGGCGGTGGCAACTGCGGCGGCCGGAGAGCCGACACCAGACGGACACACGACGGAACCAGGATGCAACTCGCCTCCTGGACGGTACGGCAAGGCCTTGGGACAAAAATCTGCGTCTCGCCCTCGCACATGCGTGAACCACCCCAAACAGTGCGCCAGAAACTGGAGAATTTGAGCATGCGCAGGGGTGTCCGCGCGTTTAGCGGGCTTCAGATGGTACTGGAAATTAGCCCCGCCTCCTTGCATCTGATTGGTCTAATCACTAGTGTTCCTGAGGCGGACTTTGAAGGAAGGACTTTGCGCTTGTGCAGAAGGGCTGAAGAAAGTAAAGGGCAACCGCGTAGGCTTCTCTGAAGAAAAACTTTCCTAAGTTACTCTGTGATCCAATCCTGTTGAATGGTGAGATTTGAGCAGAATCAGTGCTTCAGCCTTCCTTAGACCATGTTTCTCAGATTCCAGGACCTTTCATCCTTGCCTTCAAACGTTTCAACGTTTACAATTGCCTGACAACCCCTTATGAAACAGCAATGCCCCACTCCTTTGCTCTTTTGCACTACAGAGTTGTTACTTCTAACACTTATCACCACCTGATGTGACAGATATGTTTTTACACACACCCCTATGAATGTAAACTCTCTGAAGGCAGGGCCTTGGCTTTTGCTGTCATACGTACCCCACCCACCCACCCCAAGCTTCTAGAACAGTGGCCAGAATATCGTAGGGGCTAAAATATTTTTTTAATATTGAATTACTGATTTACTTTGACCACTCAACAGCCTAGCACTAGATGCCAAAGATATAGAAATGAAAAGGCAGGGTCCTTGCCTTCAGTTTCCTTGCAATCTTCACCTTAGGTAAGCACACAGAAATTCCTGACATTGCTCTTGTCAGGTGGTCTGCAAGAGCCCGCTTGCGTTGGTTCATATTTGCTTGCAAGAGCTGACTGTTAAATGTTCAGTAATTTTGTGAGCTGGGTTTTAAAGACAGCCACTCATTAACAATACATTATGTAAGTTAATTATATTAAAAGCAAACGTAATAAATGCTTAAACTCATCTCTCCCCAATCATTTTACTACATTTTACTATTATCTATGCTTTTGACATTATTTATTGATAGTACCTACGTAGTGGAAATAGGATATAATGATGTATTACTGCCCATCTCAAAAACTCCTGTTTTACTGGCATCATATGAGTAGCTTGAAATTGGCTGTAGTGGGAGTATTTACACCATGGAAATCAGCAAACACTACAAATCAGGCCCTTACCTTCCCACTCCCTCCTCCCCAGGAGTCAACTGTTTAACATGTACCAACTCACTACTGTTCCCAGGGCATCCTGCTATTTATCAGCCATATTACTTGCCAAATTGCATTTCAGTTGTTAATTTTCTGTCTTCCTTAACTAGACTCTGAGCTCCTGGTTGACGGGGCTATATTTCATTTATGTGTTCAAAACACACATTGAACACATAATAGATGTTCAACAAATATTTGTTGAATGATATAGACAATTTGAGAACTGTGTAAAACTACACAGAAAGATAAATCACAAAATAATTAGCTTATTTTTTAAAATAAGTGTTAGCTTCAAACTTTGGAAAAGTTGAGTTCTTATTCCGAAAATGCAGCTATTTTTACAACTTTTCCTTAGGAAAAGCCTTCAAAGCTGCTTTGCTGATCACATGCAAAATGGGCAAAAACCCCAAGATCCATCTCATTACTAAATGGACACACTAAGTTTTGAGCCAGCAGATTCTCTCACGTTATTCACCAGTCTTAATTTGGAAAAATGTTTGTTCCCCAAAACTAAATCCATCAAGATATGCCATCATTGAAGGATTCAAAAACAGGCAGTGGAGATAATTTCAAAAGTGTTCCAAAATTATTTTCATCTGTTCACTCACCCAATGAAAATTTTGAAGTACCTACTACTTTTAACCGATAGGGCAGCATCAGAAAATTTCATGGTCTTTACAAGATGTTACATAGTTTAAAAATAGGTCTGATATCTGTAGGTCTGAATTTTGCTTATCTCACTAGTTGCATGACCTGAGCTTTGCTTTCCTCATCTGTAAAATAGGAACATAGGAGACAGTGATGATGATTAAGTGAGACCTAACTACTCAATGAAATCTTCACCTTGACAGACTGATTATACAAATGGAAAAGGGCCAGGCCATATATGATAAGAACCCCAACCTACAACCGCTGCAGCAAGTAGCCCAGGTAGCCAAACCACAACCGCTGCAGCAATCTGACGAGAACAGTTAGGACATGGTTAGTGGCTGCCAGCTTCCCAATTTTTTCACCTGCTTCCAACTCAGGACTAACCTGAGAAAACCAAATATGTTCCCCAAACCAATGTCGTAAGATGCCTGTTTCTAGTTAGCTTATCTCGCCCTTCCCCTTGCCAACAACCTCCAGCCAGAGCACACCTGAAGCCTTCCCCCTTTTTTTACCATAGAACTTTCTACTCCCCTGCCTGACTTTGAGTATGCCAAATGCAAATGATGGTTACTAACCCTCTTGCCCTAGGAAGATTGGAATAAATAGTCTCTGTTTTTATTTGAGTGGCCTTCGTTTATTTCCCCAGTTCTCCTGGAGACTCCACTGAGGTAGAGTCTGCACTTTCCATCACCATGGACCTCAACCTTTGACCAGATGTGATACCTACAGAGTCTTCTTGTGCCTTGCTGCTTGTGGCTTGTCAAATCTATGCCAAAGCGGTAAGTGAGTACCAGATATGCACTCTGCTATCTTTGCATAGAGTTACTCATTTTCTAGTAAATCCTCCCTCTCCTTGTCCTCCAGTTGCCTCCCCAAATCCAACATCCCTCTTCCCCCTTATCCTTCTGATCTCTCTTTCCTCATCTCCAACAATTATTCCCTTCTTTTCCTCTTGACCAGACCAGACCCTCTACCTTTTCCCAACAATTCTACTAAGACCACAAAATGCTAGTTGCCTAAAAAAAAATCTACCCCTCCAATGAGCCAGGTATGCAGGCAACTATAGATTTTAAACTTTGGACCCAAGATTAATTAAAAGCTATAATTAAGGATCTTCATACTATCCAGCAAGACCAGTAACTATTCCTACAAGAATTTAAAATTATTTTGAGTGCATATAATTCAAGGTCACCTAACATATATCAACTTGTACACATGTTGGTCAAAATCTCAGATGCTAAATCTTGAAATGGCAAAAGCTGATTGGACTGGCCCAGAAAGTGATCTACAGGAAGGATCTCTCCACAATAAACCTAGAGTCCAGAAAAAAAGAGAAAAAAAAAGGCCTGAAAATTGGGGCAAAGTCTTATAAAAGTAGTATTCCCAGACATTTCCAATAAAAATTGATTAAACCATAATTCAATCATGCAAACAGAAAAGGTGAAAATATAGGAGATTTTCATGATAGGCTAGAAAAATACCTTCTGAAAACATTCAGGAGTTAATGAAAGTGCCAGTGTAAAAGCAGCCCTTTCATCTCATTCTGTCAGTGGAGTTAAACCTGAAACTAGAAGCCTAATTCGAAAATAGACGTTCGAATGGGAAATAGCACCTTTGCCTGAACCAAAGCACCTGTCAGAATATTTTGAGGGGGGTTAGAATAAAAATGAGATGGAATCCAAAATAAACTAGGATCTTGCAGATCAAACAACTAGGTGGCCCACTTCCAAGCAACCATCTTTGACAAGGACCGTCTAGATATTGTAAACGGAAGAGACACGGGGAAAAAAGAATATCCCAACTTATAAAAGAAAAACCAAGACAAAGAAAATATCTCAATTCTGATCAATTAGGGTGCTCCAGAAAGGGAAAAAAAAAACCTCTCTTAATATCTCGATTTACCCTTAAACACTCAAGTTGAATAAATATAGTCAACCTCATCAATTCCTGGTAGATAGGGATACACTCCTACTACATTAAATTCCTCATCTTAGCTCAGCCTCTTCCTATCTTTCAAATAACCCACAGATCTTTCCTATCTCCCAGCCCTTAACTACAATCCTTGGGCCCTTGAATGAAAACCATTTCTTTCTGCTCTGTGACATCACCCCTGGAGATTTAATAAGAAGAGACTTATTCTGCAAATGGAATTGTAATAGTAAATGCTCAACAGAGGAACTGTTTCTTTAAATTCCAGAGAAGTCCTCTATTCATAATCAAGTTAGGTATGTTCTGGATATACCTATGCCTTCTGCATTACATTTGGTGCGTACTCAGACCAAATTTTACCTTCAGACCTGACATTCTATGACCTTCAAAGTCCACTGACATAGAGAAAATAATCAGGTCAGAATCTGGACAGTAGGTAGATCCAACCAAACTGTTACCCAAACATCCCCAATATCCCTTGAAATTAGAAGAAAAGGAAGTGTTCCAAACTATAGTTGAAGGCCTTATATCCAAAGGTCTTCTCAGACCCTGCGCTAGCCCTTGTAACACTCTGGGCTTACCAGTAAAGAAACCAAATAGATAAGGTGTTTTGAAGACCTCAGGACAGTCAATGAACTTTTTGTCCCTCACATACCATTAGCACTTATCTTGGCATCAATTCTACCTGAAGTTACTTGCTTCACTGTAGTGGACCTTTGCTTTGCCTTTTTTGATATGCCAATCCAGGATGCCACTTTGCAGTCATCATCATGTCTCCTTAGTCTCCTTGGTTTATGACAATTTCTCAGCTTTTTCTTGTTTTCCATGATTGCGACAGTTTTGAGGAGTACTGGTCAGGTATCTTCTAGAATGTTCCACAGTTGGTCTTGCTAATCCTCTCTTTGTTTTCTGTTTCTCTGATTTCTGGTCTTATCTGTATTCTTTCTTTCCTTCTATTTTTTTTTTTTTTGCATTTATTTTCTATTCTTTAACTCTCTCTTCAGATAAAAATCTTAGCTCAGAAAGGTTTAGCCTTTTTTTTCTTTTCTGCTATATGCTTTTTTTTTTTTTACCCTATTTCCCCCAACCCCCTACTGTTAGCAAAATCAATTGTGGTTTCTGTAAAAACCTAAGGGTGAAAAGAAGGGTCTAACTCCAGAGGCCAGGAAAACTGCACAAAGGGAATGGGAGTGGGAGTGGGAGTGGGGGCGTGTAGATTCATAGTTAGTGGCTCAGGAGAGAGAGAAGAGGCCAGATTTTCAATGATGAGAAGATTTTGAAATGAA